CTGCCTGGAAGGTTTTCGTCCCTAAATCTACCTGATGGGCTCGGACTCCTCTGTCAAGGCCTAGATGAAATGCCACCACGGCCGGGAGCCTTCCTGGGTTCTCTTGGGCAGTGAGTCCTTCCTCGAGTCATTTCAGTGAAGCCTCCCAAAGAACCGTCCGCGGAAGCTCTTGCTGCCCCCCCCCGTGTGGAAGGGCCATTTCCGTGGTGCCGCCCCCTTAAGGGCGATGACCACCTTTGTCCCTGGCTTGCAGCAGATACTCAATACTTGTTGAAGGACTGAAATTAATTCCTAGGACGTTTATATCGCTGAGCGTGTACTTCTCTATTCTCCTTCCTGTTTGGAACAGGATAGACGACGGCGGTTCTCATCCCCGTGCACAGTAGGATCCCCTGGGGAGCTTTAAAACTAATGTTCAGGCCACACATGAGACCGGCTCAATCAGGATCTGGGGAGGGACAGACGTCGGCGTGTTTCACAGCTCCCAGGTGATGCTAACGTGTAGACGGGCTTGAGGCTTCTCCACGGGCAGGTGGACACTGTATCTTGGCTGTTCCTCCCCACCGTGGGGGACAGGGGTGAGCCGTGTCTGAGCCCACGTTGCTGTGCACGGTAAGACATGGCTTTAGAGTCCCCTTTTAACTGAGGGAGGAGGAGGTCTCCTGGAGAGGATGAGGAGTACAGGGTATGCCCAGCAGAGGGAGGGCAGCAGACATTTGGGGGGAGGGCAGAGGCGCAGAGGGGGTTGGCCTGACAGCCACCTATGGCCCCTAGGGCTTCCCCTGGGGACACTGCAGACAGCAGGTGTTGGGCCAGGCCCCCTCTGTGGTTGAGCGTCACAGCAGACCGTGCGGGAAAGTAAAGTGCCCTGAGTCACGGCGAGTCCGGGCCTGGGACTCCCATATACCGCAGTCACTCCTGGCCTGCTCGGATCAGAAGATGAGACCCCGACGTGCGGGGCCTAGAGAGAGCCCTGGCTCGGACGCAGGAGTGGCCTGAGCCCCAGCTACACCTCCAGGAGCCCCCTTTTCTTCTCTGGACTTGTCCCCCACCTCTAAGTGGGGGTGACAGCACCGACCGCCGGAAACGCTTCGCACGCTGCTGTCTCCCGGGGCACCGAGTCCCGAAACCCCAGCCCGGGCACCAGCTCACTGACCACACTGCCTCATGGCCGGAACCCAGCCTCGGGAGCCGACCTTGGAACCTTCATGTGTTCGACAGACGACAAAGCCCTGAAACTCAGCTTCCCGCCCCACGCGGGCACCCACATGCGCGCACATACGTGTGGCTCGGTCCCAGACCGGGCGCTGGCCTGGAGGGCTGCGGCTGCAGGGGCACGCGGGGCCGCTGGGGCCAGCTCACGCACAAGAGCCAGCTGCCCACATCTCT